AGTTTCAGCTGCCCTCAAATGGCATCAATAAGTCTGTCCTCCATTTCAGTGTAAAGTGAATTTCCACAGGTGTTTATAATTTCCTGGAATCAGGATTTGCCTTGTTTTATATTCATTTACATGGTCTTTGTATGTAATTATGCAGTGGTAAAACATAGATTTGCATTTGGTATAAACATACCATGAAAGATGCATTTAATGTTAGTCTGCAGTGGCAGTAACTAGGCCTCATTTAGAAGTGCAGGTTTTTTTTAGAAGCCTTGCAAAATATATTAGGGATGTTATGATACTTAGAAAAATTATAAATATAATAAGTATAAAAATACAGATTATAAATGCCTGGAAAACTGTAATACTCAATAAAATGCTTAATACTGTTTTTGATACCATGAAGTTTGAACCATACAGACAGCCAAAACAAACAGTGAGATAACTGTAGGGTGAGCGTGTATGGTAAATATTTCAAGATTGGGAATTTAAAAAACAAAACCGGTAATTTATGTTGTCTGAGGTATCGCTGTACATACGAGGACTTGACAGCATATTTCTGTTGCTGAACAAATATAGCGGGTAAGGTGGGCTGACAGAGTTTCTTTGCTCTGTTTCAGTCTGCAAATTTAAGAGAACACAACATGTTCAGACCCACACAGTAATATCATCCTCTTAAATTAACATTGTTTATGTTATATATGGGCTGGACTGATAACTTTTGCTGACTGGTTTCACATTAACATTATAATTTTGTTATTAGCTACACTAGCTAGCCACCACCTTAATGATAACCCAACATGATGCTATTGTGGCTATTTAGCAAAGATTTTATGTTTGATACCCTTCCTGATGCAACGCTCCCATTTATTTAGGCTTGGGAATGGCATTTGGAGTACACTAGCTTGTGGACCCCTCGATTCTGGGTTTGTGTCCATTGAATACCGGCTAATATTAATGTATGCACTAGCCAGATTAACATTAATGACTGTTTGATAATGGAAACAACTGACCTCTTGAAAATTTTCAGTGTTTTTAAACATCGAGTACTGTTCAGCTGCTAGTGAGGGGAGGGGCTGTGTGTGCCCCTCTTCACCCTGCTACCTTCTGGCAGGAGATAACGGAGCATTCGGGTCCTCACTGCCAGACTGCAAAACAGTTTCTTACCCCACGACTCCTGAACACTCAGTGACTGGACTGACACACACACACACACACACACACACGTCACTGCCTCAAGGACTAATCTGCACAATCACACGCACACTATCGTACATCAAGTTACTTTTTTCACAATGCTCAGTCTTTTGCACAACTTACTGTCATTGTTGCACTTCTGCGTGTGTTGTGTGTCTGCACTGTCTGGTGTTGCACGGTCTCTGTTTTGTGGTTGGGTTTTTTGTGCAATTTTTGCACACTTGCACTTTATGTAGTCCTTTGTTGATTGTCTGTTATATGTAGCAGCATGGTCTTGGAGAAACGTTGTCTCGCTTCACTGTGTAGTGTTCCACTGCAAATGGTTGAAATGACATTGAAGCCACTTCACTGGAACTGGAGGAGCTAAAGATGGCACTGTGGTATCAATGCTCCTGCAAATGAGTATGTAATCCAAAAGAATTTTTTAGTGTTGATTAGCATCTGACAGTCTCTTAAGAAAACAACAAAAAAACAAACAAGCAAACATACACAAGACAGTGCCGCAGTGAGATACCATCGCTGCTGATAAACAGTGTTCTGTGATAGACTCAAGGGCATCAGTGTAAACAGTATCACCATAATCGAACAGGGGCAAAGTTTTGGATAGTACAGTGAAAGTGAAACAACAGCTCCATAAAGAAAAATGTGTTTATAATAAAAAAAGAAAAGTTTTGTCTTCCACTTGAGTTTTAAAAGTGAGTGTAGCATCCTGCCAGAGTCCTGAGTGTTTAACAATATTGTAACAAACTGTTTCAGTGTTATTACCATAAAAGGTCAGTACTGTTTGGGACTCCTTGCTGCATTTGCTCCACTGCTGCTTTTAAGCACAGTACAAACTGCTTATGTCACTTCTTTGTTTCCCAAAACAAGAATTGCATTAGTATTAAAATTTATTGAAGCTATGTTCCTACTATAAAATATGTAGTTGTTGTAAACAAATGCATTGCAATTGCGTCACAAAAATCCCGAGACATTCCTGAAGCAGATATGAAGCAAGCAATATTCTGTGTTTGCTCTACGTGCTAACTGTCCTGGAAATGCTTGCTTTAAATCTAACTGCTCACTGACAAATTTGTCGTGGCTTTAAGTGTGTGCGAAATAAACAGGACTGTTTTATCTTCACATCCGCACTGTGGTTGTGTAATAGGAGCCCAGAGGACATCAAACAGAAGAATAAATGTACTCAGACCCAGCAGTACAGTTCAAACTGCGGTTAGAAGAAACTAGGTTGTGACCTCCTGTAGTTGTCCTTGCATGTCAGTTCACTGGGCACAGCAATTATGAATTTTCCCATGTGAAACTGCTGAAATGGAAAAATCTTTTTATTTTGTCACTGGAGCAACATTAGAAGTGTTGTTTAGATTTTCATGTGTGTAGTAAAGGCTACTTCATATATGTATATAAAAATAGGCTTTGCTGCTTTTATTTTAAGGCCCAAATGTGTTTTGTGGCTCCATGCACATAGAAAAGTTATTGACCTCTGATATAACCTAGCATGACAAATCACAAAATTACTTCAGGGTGCTTTATGGATTAGGTAAAGCTCTCCCACACAGTGTGATTCATTGAAATTATGCCTTTAGGGGCCACCTGATAGCTGAGTGGTTGGAGGCCTTACCACAGGGGTATAAATGACGTCAGTAGTCAGTCTCCAGTTTGATTCCCAGCTGGTCGAACCTTCACTCTCCACCACTGCCTTCTGTCTCTCTCTACCACTGCAGCTTTCCAAAAGATGCAAAAAAAAAAAGTTCTTTTGACCAGTAAATTGGGAAATAACATTTGGGATAGAGTTTTATCCCAGGATCACTGCTGTTAATAAATTTGACCTTAGCCCTCTGTTTGTTTACCTTCTTTAAATATAGGCCCTGCATGATCAGCCTAAGCTGAGCTGGTGGAGGTGATTGGGATTATGTACAAATATGCATGTGCAGTCAAAGTACCTCCCAGAGACAGTGTGCCTTTGTGGGCCATGCTGACTGCTGCTGCTGCTGGAGTGTTTTGTACATAGATTGTTGTACTTTGGCTGTGATAAGACTGTCTGCCAAACAGAGGAGAAGGCAAACACGCCTGATAATGGCTGTATTTATATCCACTTATGTAACTACCGTGACCTTTTTTATCCACATTGGTGAGGATAACCACTCGTAAGCTGATATTTGTATTCTCAGTGTTCTGTTAAAGGCGGCAGACTCCCACTGCAGGCACTACATCAAAAGGTTGAGAAATTATCCTCATGCTAGTTCAGTCTCCCATGTTGACAACGAGGGATCCCTGCTCCATGCTGGCTATGTTTCAAGACCAAACCAATTAAATGTGTTTGGGTAGCAAGTAGTTTCAATTGGATTACTTGCGTAGGTCTAGAGCTAACTGAACTCTTAGCTTGTGCTTCTAATAGCATGCGTAGCAAGTGTGGCATCACGTAAGCTAGGCCAGAACAGCCGGCATTGAGTGAGGCAGCGCTGGGGCGATTCAACTGTTGATTCCAGCACCCCTGACATCCCCTCAGCTTTTCTGCTGTGCTCCATCTCTTTGTTTTCCGCTGCCTGA